ACTTCTGAACAATGTAATAGAAATTCCATGGCAGGTGACTTAACTTACTGTAGGCACATCAGTTGTATACCATATTCAGCGGTCCCCAACTGTTTTGGTGCCATGGACCAGCTGGGGGGAGCAAGCTCCATGTGTGTGTGTGGGGGCAGGTGGCACCTTTCTCCCGGCTACTGAATTCACAGAATCGTTGTCCACATGCCTGGATTGAAGCCAAGGACTTCCTTGTCACAAAGGGCAAGTGCGGTCTTGAGGGTGAATTTGAGACCCAGTATTCTAGTAATTAAGTCCTGGCAAAGAATCTGATTGCATGTCATTTATTCAGAGAACTGGAAAATCTCATTGTGTTGTTTGGTTTGTTTGTTTTTTCCTTAAAGAGGCAGGATTGAAGAATAATATGAAGGCACATGCCCCTTCTTGAAAAATATGTGGCTGGTATATTTGTATGCAGTCCTAGTTGTACTGGATATAATGTAAGAGCTACAGTACTTCAATCTCCTTTCTATTTTGGCTGTTTTCTCTGTGGAAGATTATGTACTGCAAACATTTCTATGAACTTGTAGCATTCATAGGCTCTACCCTATTTTACTCTGCAGCACAGGAAGGCAGCAGTTGACAGAGGATTCTGTAATGCTCACACTCCCCTCATCCTACTTTTGGCGTTAGGTCAGCCTCCAGCTTATTTGATTTGGGGGTAGATATTTGTGCTTTTTTGACCAAACTCCGGGAAGCAGTGGAAGACAGGAGGGCCTGGCGCGCTCTGGTCCATGGAGTCATGAAGAATCGAACATGACTTAACAACTAAACAACAACAACATTTGTGCTTTTCCTTCCCTTTTTGGCTTTCCTAGTTCCCACAGGAACCTGAGGAATAGGCTGTGCCCAGGGCTTTTGAGAGGAAACCAGATCAGGATAAATGGAAAGGGGTGAGGCAAGGAAACGGCCCATTTGACATAATTTCAGCTGCTTCATTTTCAGGTCTATGCATGTTGCTTTGCTGTTGTTTTCTTCCCCTGTTGAAACAAAAAAATCCACTTTTCAGTCCGTATTTCATGTACTTCACAGCGTTATAGTTTACTTCACAAAGGTGTTGAACAATATGAGGCTTCAAGGCAGATCAGGGAAGGCATTAAAAATAAAACAGCCAGTATTGTAATGCCATCATCTGTGCTGTGTGGATGTATTTGGTATGTTTTCTTTTAAGACTTTGTGCAACTAAATAAAAATGGGGAAGGAAAATCATAAAAAAATTTGGGCAACAATATCTTTAAAATTTAGGCTTTTGTATTTAGGAGAAAAAAAATAGCAGAGATAAGACATGACCAAGTATATAATTTATGAATGGGGAAGGAAAATCATAAAAAGATTTGGGCAAGAATATCTTAAAAATTTAGGCTTTTGTATTTAGAGAAAAAAATAGCAGAGGTAAGACATGACCAAGTATATAATTTATGAACAGTGTTTTTGATAGAGAGATCTCTCTCTGCCCCTATTAAGCCCCTGCTGATGGTATTGGGAGTCAATTTTTTTGAACAACTTCTCCCAGAATCCTCTAGCTAGCATGAATAGTGGTGGGAGGCACAGCAAAACTCAACCTCTCCATTTTGTTTTGTCCTCAATTCTCCTCTGAGTACATCCTCTGCCATATAGTGTCATTAAGAAGCTTTGTGGCACAGTAGTTAAACTGTAGTCAAGATCTTGTTTATGACCTGAATTTGACCCCTGTCTCAGGTAACCAGCTTGACTCTCCTTTCCAACCTTCTGAGGTCGGTAAAATGGGCATAATCCCATAATGTAAACTGCCCGGATAGAGCTTTGATCCCTGTGGGATGGTATATACAGTAAGTAGCACAGTTTGCTTTTTTTGCTTTGTTTTAATTGAAAATCCAAGGTGATAATGATGTGTAAAATGAATGACCAATTGTACTTAGGTTCAGAAAGCTGTCAGATCACACAGTAGGAACAACTGGGTTGTTTGGGGTTTAGCTTTTTTCCTTCCGGCTGTGCTGGATCTGCTCATCATATATATACATAGAAATGAGCCTGTGCTTATTCTCCTGAGAATTCACCAAGGAGAGTCTGTATCTTCCATGACTCAAAGTCTCAAGTTATTATGGTGTTCCATCACGCTGTATCAAAAGTGGGGAACAGGTTGCTCTCTAGATGTCCTTGGACCATATCTCCCATTCTCCTTTTTCAGTGGTCCTGCCAGTTGATGCTGATGTGGTTTGGAATCCAACAAAATCTGAAATTCCCCACCCCTGTTCTATGCTTCATGTGCCTTTGTAGGAAAGTTATTTTATAGTGATTTTATGCTATAAAACCTTCAGACTTGGAACTAATATGATAAAGTATTAAAGGGATGCTCCTCCATTCCTTTCTACACTAATAATCAAGTATCAGTTTCTTAGGGTTTCTTCTCTAGTTTGTCTATTATGGAAAGAAACACAAGTCAGGTATCTATCCTGTCTACAGTGTCTGGTTCAGAAAAGAAAAAAAAGAAAAGAAAACCGGCTTTGTTGTATCATAAAAAATGGTGTTTGTGACTGGGGACGTGGTGGTGCTGTGGGCTAAACTGCAGAAGCCTGTGCTGCAGGGTCAGAAGACCCGCAGTCGTAAGATCGAATCCACGCGACGGAGTGAGCTCCCATCGTTTTGTCCCAGCTCCTCGCCAACCTAGCAGTTCGAAAGCATACAAATGCAAGTAGATAAATAGGTACCACCTCGGTGGGAAGATAAAACGGCGTTCCCTAGTCACGCTGGCCACGTGGCAACGGAAACTGTCTTTGGACAAGCGCTGGCTCTACTGCTTGAAAACGGGATGAGCGCTGCCCCCTAGAGTCAGACACGACTGGACTAAAAATGTCAAGGGGTACCTTTACCTTTCATCTTTCTCTATAGGGATAGATGCACTCAGAAGGCAACCTGACTGTTAGTTCGGGGAAGGGAGGTTAACAAACTGCAACATGAAGTTGGCATTCTGATGTTTGACACTGGCTTCCCTTCAGTGGAAGGGGGCAGCCCAAAGAAGGTCTACCTGGTGGTTGGCAGACAGTTTACCTTCAGTGTGGCACTGAACAAGATCCTTAGAAGCTCCATATGAAAATTAATGGTGGTGCAAACTCCTGTGAAGGGAAGGTATTATAATGTCTTTTCCCCCCCTGTTTTGTTTTGCTTTTTCTTTTACAGCTCTACCTGCAAGCCAGATTTACTTGGAGAGGAGCCCGCCTGCTGCGTCCTCTGCTACAGTTTACATTGATCATGATGGCATTTTACACAGGACTTTCTCGTGTGTCTGACCACAAACACCATCCAACGGATGTACTGGCAGGCTTCACACAGGGAGCCCTGGTGGCTTATTGCGTGGTAGGTGGACTACATCGCTGGTGTCTTGTTTCACCAAATAACCATATGTATCGTATCTGCAAGAGGGATAATGCAAGGGGGGTATTAGTCCACTGCAGGGTTCCTGGGTTCTGCTTGAGACAGTGATAAACATTGCAGTCATAATGACTTGCATTTGCTGAGTCTGTTTCAATATGAGAACTGCTGGGGGAAGAGAAGGTTGACCGATCTGGGGGTACCTGGTTAGGTTTTCTAAAACCATGAAGGGGGGAAAAAGGGGTAGCCTTAAAGAAAGAAAACAAAGGGTGATGTCCTCATATACTGAAAGCTAGAATAATAAATGCCAAGTGCACTCTTAACTTTCAGGTGTAGTACGCATAAAATTACCCTTATGTGAAACAGTTGTTTTCTGCATATTAGGTTCAGTACGTTTAGTGTATGGAAAGAAGCTATACTTGAATACGTGCCAGACTGGGAAAATTACCAGGATAATTCACCTAGGTGAATGCATAAATGGTTACAGCACTGGCTTGTTTTTCTTTGAAAGACTAAACACTTTCAAAGGCAGCTGAAGCCCTCCCCTCCGTGTCTCTCTCTCTCTCTCTCTCTCTCTCTCTCTCTCTCACACACACACACACACACACACACACACACACACACACACACACACACACACACACACACACACACACACGTCTATTTTTCTCCAATAGATAGATAGAGAGATAGAGAGAGAGGGAGGGAGGGAGAGAGGGAGGGGGGGAGAGAGAGAGAGAGAGAGAGAGAGAGAGAGAGAGAGAGAGGTATCAGTGTTAGCCAAAATACTGTCAACATTTTGTGAGCAATGCAGTCTCATTTCCCATAAACGGACTGGAAATCCAATCAAAAGTGCTTGATGCTTGAGGAAACATGCACAGATCAATGTTTGCCTTTGAGTTAAATCAGAAAGCTCAGTAACTTGAAACTTGCATTTCTTAGTTTCATTGGAAGCATGGCGATCTATTGCTGCGTATGTTTTGTTTTATAATACAGTGAGAAGCAATTTTTGCATAAATAGTCTGCTAAAGCAACAATTACTTGTCTTCAACTGTTTGGTTTGTTTTACATTTCAAATGAAACCAGATTATTCATTCCTTTTAACCTGACATATATCCAAAGTTATACATACTGCAATACTTATATAAGTTTCTGATATAAGTACCTTTCTAAAATTTGCCTTAGCTGTCTTCAGCAGGAAACAAAGGGGTAGGTAGGTAGGTAGGTAGGTAGGCAGGTAGGTAGGTAGGTAGGTAGGTAGGTAGAGATAGATAGATAGAGAGAGAGAAAGATAGAAAGATAGATAGATAGAGAGAGAGAGAGAGAGAGAGAGAGAGAGAGAGAGAGAGAGAGAGAGAGAGAGAGAGAGAGAGAGAGAGAGAGAGAGAGAGAGAGAGAGAGAGAGAGAGAGAGAGAGAGAGAGAGAGAGAGAGAGAGAGAGAGAGAGAGAGAGAGAGAGAGAGAGAGAGAGAGAGAGAGAGAGAGAGAGAGAGAGAGAGAGAGAGAGAGAGAGAGAGAGAGAGACAGAAAGAGAGATAGATAGATAGATAGATAATTACAAGCCATTTGCACAGGTTGGACATCAAGTAAAATATTTATATGTTGGTTGGCTCATAGATTTTGTATTTCTCCCTATTTATTGATACACTGCAAGCACTCTCTTCCCTGTGCTATCACGTTAAACTCTGGTTTGGCGACTGGGTTCTTTTGTTTTTGTTTTTTGTTTTAATAAAAAAGACAAACCAGCTCCAGCAAGACAGTATTATGTCTGCTCAAAATCAAACCCTAAGAAGCAATGTCACTTTCTGTTCCTGAAGAGAGGATACTTTGGACATAAAACAATGGGAAAGGGCTAAAACAACCTTTAAATATCAAATCCTGTCCTCAAAGCATTTTTGCAATGGCACCTATCCCTTGAAATGATCTCCTTGCTCCACAATGTCAGGTGACAATCCTGACATGATTTTGGCACCTCTTGACATCCTGTCTTTAATCTTAGACCCCCAACAAGCTCCAACTCCACCCCCACCCCCATGGTGCATGAATGTGTGTTTGCTGGATATGGTGTTATAGTAATATTTTAAACTCTTTTAGAATTTGTGCAAATAAGAATATGTGCAAACCCCCCCCCCCAGGAAAACTGAGGAGGGTGATGCAATTTGAGAGAAGGAGAGAGAAAGACTGAGGAAAGTCTCCAAAGTTGTTAGCCTAAGAAGAGTTATGTTCTTACCTCCTATAAAGAACATTTCCTCTTTGAAACAATAGTTGCTTCAAGAGGAGATGATTCACAGGTCAAGGTCAAAGGATGAGAGCTTTTAGTACCCTGGTATCCAGCCCTCCAGGTCAGGTGCTCCTGCAACATTTTGTGAAGTTAAATATGTTCACACATTTGAACTCTACTTTAAAATGCAGTTTGACCATGAGATAGTACAATTTAAGAACACTTGCACAGAAAAGCAAATTGGTGTATAATCCATCCCATGCCCGTTAATTCTGGTCTACAAATCTTCTGCTTCTGCTTCCTTCCAGTTTCAGAGCGTAGCAGTGAGGAAAAAATTGAAAACCACTGAATGAGGGATAACCTGTTAGTAGGGGAAATGGTATAATTATCCATTATCGTGTGTGGAATTGAAATTGAAATATGCCAGGAAGGCCCATCAACCTGCTAGGCACCCTGTCTCTCTGGATACTGGATTAGGGATATGACAGAAGGACTGTTGTTGCTCACAAAACACACAGATACATATCCCTTTCTTCTCATCCCCACCAGAACAAATGACACAGCCAGGAGGAACTACAAATAAATCACAATAGATGAAGACTTGTGCACAGTAAGAGAAACAGACCAAGCAGGTCTAATTGAGCCCAATAATAATCTGTTTAAAAATATACAAAGGAAATTGGGTCACAAATCACACAATCTCCAGTGTTTATATACAAATGTCAGAGATATAGGAGATAAACAAGAAGAACTGGAACTCTTAATTCAGGAGGGTAAATACGACTTGAGAGGGATAACTAAAACTTGGTAGGATGACTCTCATGATAGGAATATGGCAAATAAAGGATATAAATTGTTCAGAAATAATAGAAAGAGAGATAGAGTTGCAACATATGTCAAAAATACATATTCCTGCACAGAAATACAGGAGAATGAGCTTGGTTATCCCATTGTCCCATCTGGATTAATATAAGTGGGGTGAAAAAAGGAATGTGGTAGTTGGAGTTTATTGTTGTTGTTTAGTCATTAAGTCAATAGTAGATGGTAGAGATGATATTACACAAAGATGGAAACACCCATGTAAAGTGGAATGAATGGATTATTGTTGTTTAGCCATTAAGTTGTGTCCGACTCTTCGTGACCCCATGAACCAGAGCACACCAGGCCCTCCTGTCTTCCACGGCCTCCCGGAGTTGGGTCAAATTCATGTTGGTAGCTTCGATGATGCTTTCCAGCCATCACGTACTCTGCCATCCCCTTCTCCTCTTGCCTTCACACTTTCCCAACATCAGGATCTTTTCCAGAGAGTCTTCTCTTCTCATGAGATGGCCAACAGCTGTATGGAAACAACTGAAGAGAGCTTGTTTCATATGGAATAAACATTGCAGCAGCAAAAGCAATTGTCTGTCCCTTTAGCAACTCTTGCTGCTGTACAGGAGCACCAAACCGTACAAACCTGTCAGAGCAAAAGTATAGGCTAGATACTGAAAATCTATAATTTTAGGAACAAGAAAAAATACAAAAGCACAGCAAAAGAGATGGCACTAGGTCTTTTCTATGTATATAGTTTTACAATCAGGCTTGAGGCTACAATTGAACATTTTAGCTACTCCTGGTGAACAGGAAATCATGGGAAGGCAAAGGAAATCACTAGCCATCTCTCTTTCAACTTCCTTTTCTAGGGCTCTGTCTGTCTCTACCCAGAAGGGCTTCTGGAAGGGCAGGGCAAATCATGCCCTGTGCCCTGTCTGTATCCTGGTTGAGGACTGAGGTTTACCAAAGGGCAGCAGACAGGGTGGGAAAGCTCAGGGTTGAAAAGGAAGGCCCGCACATGTGTCTGGCATTGCTCAGGCAGCTGTTTCCTCAGCAGCTTCACCTCGTCACAGGAAAGTCAGCCTATAGCAGCCAAATGCTCACCCTAGTAAAACACACCATCTGTTTACAGGTCAGGGAACGAGTGCCAGCTTTGCAACTTGTCATTCAACAGGAAGCAGTGAAACCATTCATTTCTTGTATTAGTGCCTCTATTGTCTGTCAGAAGCTTTTTGCTCTGATACACTGAGTTCATCATCATTCCAAGGACCAACAACCCTTCCTGGTCATTCTGCCCCATCCCACCATCACTTGCCAAACTTAAATAATGAAGTAACTCCATATGACCAGTTCTGACAACAGGCTGTAATAATGGCATGACAAAACCATTTAACCCAATGTGAGTAAGTCTTTCCAAAAATTTATAAACCAGTTGCTGCAACCCTGAAACCCAGCAGTTTTTAGCATGGAAAGCCGAGAAAATCATAGCAATTTGAATCTGAACTAAGTATCTATTATTTTTATCATCTTTATTAGGCCTGCTATATTTAGGAAAAGAGGTTTTTGCTCTGTATTTTCTCTGATTGCATATCATATCAGTATACTGGCCATTTTTTCTGTTACATTGCTGAGTGAACAAATATAATAAAATAGATCTGGCCTTTTGCTTCTACGGTTACAGAGGCTTTCTTTCTTTGTCACATTTGAGTTTTTATCATCATAGTAATTCCTTCAAAGCAATGTTAACTCCTTTTTAAAAGGAAGCCTCAATGCTCCAGATTTTGTCACAGCCCTGATGGCACATTTAGCTATACTGAAATACTCAACATAAACCATGAGAAGTTCCATTTTTCAAGGGTAATCAGGACTATAGCCTGGAAAGGTACATGCAAAACATTTATTTCAGGCAAGCTGATGAAATAGTTGTGTTTTATTCCAAGTTTTAAATGCA